TAGCATCAGAAGACGGTCATCCTCCCCTCCTTTATCCCCCCAATGTCAGTGTAGACACAGATAAACTATTCACATGTTCACAGAGAATATTAAAAGCTATTTTATATGATTTTTTTTCCTCTCCCCTTTTAACTTCCTTTTTTAAGGCAAGGCTAGAGGCAGTAAGAAAAACTGAAAAGTTTTTGTCTTCTGGTTAACACATGCGCATACATTCTGAGTGTGCATGGAAGAGTTGGCTACCAGAGTTAAGGTTTGGACATTGTAGCCTATTGTTCAGAGCCTCTGGGGTGTGTGAGGTTTGTCACTGCTTTTGTGAGGTGGTAACCTCTGGCGTTCTGCTACACTATGGCGCTCCTGAAGAACATGTGGATGCGGTGAGGGAGTGGGGCCCTCTGCTGGTCGACTGTCACTCACCACTCTTGTCCGCCTGCCATAGCCTGCGTCCAGGCAGAGGCTTGAAGGCCCCTGTCGTATTAGCTCTAGCTCCTATGCTCTGCTGCTTATTTTGTATCTGTAGCACTCTGCTTACCAGTGCTCTTCGCTTAACTGGCTACTCATGCTTTCTTTGGTGGAAGGTGAAGAGGTGGGTGTGGACAGAGTGAAGCTTTTGTTTTCACAGGCTGTCTTTAGCAGCTAAGTACCCAGCTAATGTCACTTTGCTTTGCTGATAAGTGACGTTGACAGATACACAAAATGAATATAAATTGGTGATGTGTGTGGCAGCGTTCTGAGTCTTTGTACAGGAGGAGCATGTTCTACTTGAAGTGACCGTCGTGCAGAAGCCTTGATCCAGATGAATTCACCATTCTGGCTTGGTTTGGGGTTTTTAATTTTTGTTATTGGGGTATTTTGTTTGTTTTGTTTGTTGTTGTTTGTTTTTTATTTTTATTTTGTCCCAACATTTTCCTTTATAGTCCACCATTAGATATTGATCAGTTGAAGCTCATTTTAAGACTCGTTGGAACCCCAGGGGCTGATCTTTTGAAGAAAATCTCCTCAGAGTCTGTGAGTTGATGCTTTGATTGTAATTATCTGCCCTTTTGGGAGCCTCTGCCACTTGCCTTCCATCAGTCTGTACTTTGCCCTGAGTATGTTTGTAAGCATGTGTGCCCTTTTGTGCTGACTTTCAGGATGAGGGGTGTGTGTGTGTGTGTGTGTGTGTGTGTCTGTATGTCTGTGTGTACATGCACTCATCTGCCCCCATGCATGAGTGTGTTTTATTCTCTGTTGGAGTATGTACTTAGATCATGAGAGCTTGTATTGGGCAGTAGTATCCATGATTTGAGATTGTAACTCATTCCATGAAATTAAAGAAAATTTGTCTCCATTATCAAGCCCTGACATCATCTTTCTCAGAAGTTTACATGCACTTAAGCTCTTTTTATGTTTTGGTTAGTGTTCTAACCACGTTCTCAGAGCGTGAGCTTTACCACATATTAGTGTAGCTTCACTACAAGAATGAAGTGTGCATTGTGTTCACACTACTGCCCTTTCCCAAAAGTTACTGCCTTTTACTGCTTTAGAATAGACAACTCGCATATCTTGTATAAGTTGTCTGTTCCCAACAAGGGCACCTCTCCACCCTGTTTCCAGACCAGTCCTGGTAACTCACATCCTCTGGAGTAGACTTGTAAATCCTTCCTCCCACAGCCTCCCTTTGTAATTACAAGTCAATAACCTGAGAAAAAGCTTTGGCGCTAATGCTTTCCTGCCTCTAAGCAGGGATTTAGAGAGAAGCCATGGGAATGTGACTCTGGCTTACTTTGGCTTCAATTTCCTACTGTTGGTCATTTTCTGGGGCCAGAGGCAAGAGAGAAATCATGAAAGCTCAGCCTTTCTCCCTTTTCTCCTCTGTCTGCTGCCAGGCAGTTGACTAAAAGGGAAAAAGAACTGTGGAGCCAAGCTCCAATTGTGCCTTCCTGAATTCTCCTCCCAGCATTCTGACTAAAGGGGTCCCTTTGCCCAACTGGAAGGAATGCTGGGTGGCTTGAGGCAGGCTTGAGCAGGTGAGTTTGAATGGTGCATCATCTCTCTTACAAAATAAAGAATATTGTCATCTGGTATGTTTCTGGTACATTCTACTAACAGACCACAAAGTCCAGTGTATTTATGAATTTCCACTCTGAGAGATGTAAGACACTGTGCTGGCTCTATTATTTTGTTTCATTTATTTAAGATGAAGAAGGAAAAGCACAGAAAAGCTGTGACTTGTTTGAGTCATGCACTGAGTCACTTGGCAGAGCTGAGCATAGATCTCAGATGTTCTGATAACATCATCTTTATTTTTTAATTTTTTATTTTTTGATAACCTCATCTTTAAACTTTAATCTCATGCAATTGCACACTATTTTGAAAGTCATTTGTCAAAGTGACTGACCACTGTGTCAACCCAAAGGAGTGGGGAAGCTGGATAGAGTGAATCAAAGAAGATAAGAAATGGTGCTTTCTTGTTTTAAATGCATGTACTTAGAAAGACTGGTAATAGAGAAGACATGGGGGCAAGGGAGTGGGGGTGGGAGAAAGTTCGGTTTATTTACCAATAGTACTAATGAGACTAAGATAGTAAATTCATTCTCTGTCTGGGAATGGTCACTAGCAGCTCTTTCTCAGTCCCTAATCTGCCCTATAGATATGTGTAGCTAGTCACAAGATTTTTAAAAGAAAAAGCATGGGTAATATCATATTTACCTATTATTAATCCATCATTTATTGTTAAGAAAGAAACAAAATCAAGTGCCCAACCTAATAATGAGATGTCTTTATCTTATGTGAAATAGGGCACATCATACATTTAAACAGCTCTAGAGTTGGGCATAATAAAATTATCTACCAGAATGCAGAATGTACTCCAATAATAGTGTGTTGAGTATGGGAATAAGAGAGGGTTTTTTTCCCCCCTACATGGTTATGATGAATGGATAAAAAGGGTTTAAACATTCGAAAGGGTAGACAAGATTAATTTGACGTTAGTAATAATGCCCCAAGTACCAGTTTATCTTAAAAGCACATGATGTGTGTGGGATGCATGGTGTGCAAATAACAAAGCCAGCTGAGTAAAATTGTTTTAAGAATTTTAAAAATTGAAGGAAAAGTTCATTAGTGAAGGAATGTAATAGCTATTTTTGTTACTCCTGCAAAGTAGTAAGGTGGTGATGCCATAATTTTTTCAAGTCTTTATTTAAATTAGTTAGTTAACATACAGATGCCATCATTTATGTAGAAATCCAATCAACAGATATTAGGACATTGTAAGATAATGCAATAATGGATGGGCTGATTGAGAACAAGTTGGGATGTGCTGTAAGAAAGGGGATAAATGGGCCATGGCAGCTAAGGAGAGAGGAGTGTTTTGCTTAGTGACCCAGTACCTATAGTAATCAGTGAAAGAACAAAAAGTCATATAAAGAAACCAAAAGCCCTTTCACTGACTCCCATTTTTCCTTAGAAATATATTCTTGCTAACCTCCTGACAGGAAGGGGATATAATAATGCATTTGACTAAAGGAGACAAAAATAGAAATTGCACAGGCCAAGTATTGTTCCTAAGAAAGAAGAGAGAGGTGGCAAGATTCAAAGATTTTAAAACCCAATTGGTATTCTACTATTCCTAGTTTACTTAATGAGCCATTTTTATTGTATTTCTTCACATGCAAAGTACTGTTGGTATGTCATTTGTTTAAAGGCAAATCTAAACTTTGTTGAGAGAATTAAAAGGGCTTCATGCCACCTTTTAAATTTGCTGGCCTCTGTCCTTGGGCATAAGGAGTATGAAAGGCAGGATGCAGCACATGTCCCAGCTCTCTCCTTATCATATATTTGCAGTCCCCTGACCACTAGGGAATTTGAGTTCTGAGGATGAGGTAATGTGAAAAATTAGTGAAGGAAGCCACAAAGAAGTGTAATTGCCTGACCAGGGTGCTCATTGAAGATGCTGCTATAACCAGGGGTGGGGATGAGGGAATTAATAGTTTACAAAGAAAGAATAGAGAAAGATTTTTATTGAATTGCAATTGATTTTTAAAAATCCCATCACTATTCCTTTAATAGGAACATGTGATAAACTAACAGTTCATGTAACATTTTGGAGGAGGGGGACTTGTGTTAAAGTTGATGGGGCAGCAAGAAAAGAGAAGTTTGACATGCCAGTTCCATGTGTGCTTGTGCATATGGAAGACCTACTAGTTTCGTCCTTTTGTCAGATCATTGCAGAGCATTTTGCAGACTTCTTCCCAGCTGTTTACTAAGTGAAGTCAGCCTATTCACCTGTTAGAAACTTGTGGAGGAAATCACTGTGGCATGCTGTAATACCATCAGCAGCCTGTGACTTCTATTTTGTCTTTGCCATTAGCTTCTAACTTTGCCCTGTGTGTCCTCTTTCTTCATCACCATTGTGTGTTTGGCATGTTTTATAAATGTACCACTACTAATGTCTTTGAAACTTGGCATTGCTTATCAGCTCGCACACCCACCAATGTCTTACATTTGGAGGGGTGTTGCCTTGGAGAGTTACCAGAACCTGTGCCACGAAAATTTAACCACTTCCTTGAATGGATATATTGAAAATTTTGTTTTGTCCAAAGCTGAATCAAAATTTTCTGAATCATCTCCATTTACCCCCCCCCCCCCCCCCCGCCCCAAGCAAACAGGTTTTGGCCATCAATATTTGAAAACCATTCTCCGGCTGGCATCCTGGATCAAGGGGCAGTCCCTTTCCAGGGAGCCTAAAATATTTCATGTTAAAGATGATGCTAAAATAAAAGAGAAGTAATTTTTCTTATCTGCATGGCCAGTTCCTGGCTGCATGCCTAATAATTCTCATGCCATTCCATAGAAGCGTGCGTTCACATGCAGCCTTGGGCTCTGGCCTGGGATGGTTGGGATGGGTGGGAAATTGATTTTTTGTTCATTTGGGGTGGCTTTTTTGGCCTTCTTGAGAACTTGAGTTGAAAGTTATTTTTTTGCACTGTATGTTTAACAATGCCCTTGACTAGGCATCTAAGATATTAACCAGCTTCAGCAGATTATGCGTCTGACGGGGACCCCCCCTGCTTATCTCATTAACAGGATGCCAAGCCATGAGGTGAGAACAAACAGACTGTATAGGAATAGCCAATTCAGAAGGCCACATTCTCATTTTATTGCCACTGTATAACCAACACAGTTTTTAATATCACTGAGGGCTTGCATGTGCCTTGAGGGGCTACTAAGGTGATGAGTGCGTATGTGCTATGGCAGGATGCTGACATTTGGGATAAAATGTCATCCAGTCCTATGGATTGAGAATATAATTTATAGGCTTGTAAATAGAAAATGATGTTACTTTTATATTTGGGTTTTATAAATTTAGTGCTCGAGAAGCCATTATGTTATCCTAGTAAGGGTATGTTAACATCTGATGACTGTAGCCTGGAAGTGTATTTAACTGAGGGCCATTAGGATGCTTTCCTATTCATCAGTTTTTTATAATGACCAAAAGAAGATTCTTCCCTTAAGTTAAAAACCAAATCTATAAAATATCCAACACTGATAAGTACTATATTTAAAAGGAAATATACAAATAACATGGAATAAATATGAACACTTCTATAGGGTTAGGTGTCTTCTTTACCATTCTTACTACTTAATCTTTAATGCTAGTTTTATTATCAGAGATGGTTGAGGCACTTCTTTCTAAGATGTCTTTAATGTTTTTGGGAGCCAGGTTGGCATCCACAGAGGCCCTTTGCAGCAGCAGTGTTTCTATTTCAGTTATATGCAGGTAGTTTTTAAATTTACCTTTATGTATCTTATTAGAGGGATGACTGTTCTCTGCATAAGACAGGTCTCTCTTACCTCTGTCTTCCCTTCATCCTCAAGTAGGAAGGGATTACAAACATATGGATATTCAATTCCTGGAACTCTCTTTTCAAATTGGAAAGATTCCCAACAGATTTGCAAAGTGGACCTCTTCTACTTGGTCCACGTACAATGACTAAGAAGGTGAAGTTGCCCTAGTAACCAGAACTTTTTCTAAGCTTGTGTGTGGAAATACACAGACACACACACACACACACACACACACCCCTTTACTGTTGAGCTGTATTAAAATAGCAATTTTAAGGAAGTGGTTTAGATTCAAAGAAGTTTTATCTCATCTTCTCAGATGGACTGAGAGTGGGATTTATTTTTTTGAAACTGGGAAAGTCACAGACACAGCTTAATACCTAATATCTAAAGCACACATTTATGAGTTACATTTGTATTTACATGATTAATCTTAAGACCAGTTTTTGGTTTGCCTTCATAGAGCTATCAGTCCTTAAAAGTATCTGGCACTGAAAGTTCCTTCCAGTGGAGTTTGGAAATTGTGAAGTTGAAACACCCTTAGAGAATGAGAGCAAACTTTCTAAAGGCAACAGGGAGAACAGCTAATGTTTGTTGAGCTCTCACTCTGCACCAAGTACTGTGCTAAGGAAGTACTGGTTTGTTATCTCCAATCCTCACTGCAGCCTTGTGTGGTAGACATTGTTAATCTCTTTTTATAGAAAAGGAACTCAAGCCTTAAAGAGAATAAGTAACTTGCCCAAAGTGATAAAGTCAAGATTCAAGCCCGTTCCACCATAGGGACCAAACTTATAAAACTATATTGGTAATATAAATGTTGTTTGTGTCAGAATTTTAGTTTAAAGCTCTTTCATGAGTTTTATCTAATTTGAATATCACAATAACTGTATGATAAAGGCAAGCCAAATACTAATATCTAATACTAATATTTTGCAGAAGAGGTCACCGATATGTCAGTTGAGACTTATGAAAGAAGATGTAGCATCTAAGTGGTAGGGGAAAGATTTCTGTGTAGACCATGTAACTTATAATCCACTCTTCTTCATTTCTCTAAGTTGCTTTAGTATTTTTAAAATGTGTTCAGGACTTTTAGAATAATACAGTAAGCTTATGTTTACTTCCTTGTTACCAACATTACTTTGTTAGCAAGGTTTAACACTGATGCCCTTTTTATGAACTAGGAGTATGTACTGAGATCAGCACCATCAGAGGATTGCTGGTCCTCAACTTTAGGAGTACATATCCCTATGCTAATTATAGGTTTCTAGAAAGGCTATCTCAGAAAGGAGAGCTTCTTAGATATCTTGGCCTCCTTTTTTATTTTACTTGTGATCCTTTGATTACTTATTACTTATTAGTAAGCTAATAAAAGGGGGCTTAGTTGCTTAGCATTCTCCTTCACTGGAAATGGAACTGTGAGAGATAACTGGAATAAACAAAGGTGCTGATCACATATAAGGGCGTTAGGATGGCAGTAAGAGAAATCTTTAACTGACTATCAAAGACAGTCGTAAACATTGAAGCTAGCACACTTTGTCAGTTAACACTTGTTCTTTGGCAGGATCGAGACTCTCTGGGAGCAGTAACATTACTGAACAAAGCCATTTTGAAAACCTCTTATTTTTACAGGCAAGAAACTACATTCAGTCTTTGACCCAGATGCCAAAAATGAACTTTGCAAATGTATTTATTGGTGCCAATCCCTTGGGTAAGTTGATAATATCCTTACCTCATGAATATTGAATTGTTAATGACATAAATTAAGGATTTAAAGGAGAGTTTTTCCCCTTTTGATTAAACAGGGTACCATTAATTAAATCCTGGAAGGTGGTAAGTAATGCTGTTTGGGTTTTTTGGGGAGGGAATTTTATTTATTTTACAGAGAGAGAGAACACAAGCGGGGGGAGGGGCAGAGAGAGAAGCAGGCTCCTCACTGAGGAGGGAGCCCTGATGCAGGGCTCAATCCCAGGACCCCAAAATCATGACCTGAGCCGAAGACCAGACACCTAACAAACTAAGCCACCCAGGCACCCAGGCCATTTGTTATCTATGTTTGTGTCGTTAGGTTTTTTAATCACATGATAGGCTTATATATTTATATGATCCTAGAATGTGGTAGGAGGAATGGGCTTGTATGGTGAAGACAGGAGAGCAAATAGTGGGGATGTTGAGAGGAGAGATGAGAGGTGCAGGAAGAAGGAGGTACAGAGGAAAGCCTATGACTTTGCAACTGCTGCCATTGTGTGGTGTCCCAAACCAAGGATGAAAACAGCTGAAGCACAGATAGGTGTTTAGAGGACCCCCAGGAGCTCCCTGCAGACTGCCCTGCACTGCCTGTAGCTTCCCAGTGCTACAGGTTCTGCTATCCTTGTGCACTTTTCCTTTCTTCCCTTCTTCTATATGCCCCTCCCTGCCCGCCCCCCGCCTCCCCCCCCCATTCTGTCTTCTTTGTGGAGATAATTTGCCACCTCACACTTTAAGGAATGGCTCCACATTCCTTCCTGCCACCATCACTTCCAGGATCCTTTGCAGAGGGAAGTAACAGTGGTAGCTGCAGGATATGTACTGCCTTGGCTAAAATGAAAGTTGATTTCTTCCTTGAAGTTGGCGTTATTATGTGCTTTGGTTGGCTCCTAAAAGTGGCATTGCCTAAGACCCTACCTCCCTGAATCAAGGATTGTGCAGTGGACAGTGCCATTTAACAGCAGACAGGGAAAAATCAGACCAGGCCTTCCTGTGACAGGGAAGGGAGCCATGCCATGATAATAGTATAAGCGACCTTCTCACTTTCCTGAAGATTGTGTTATGTTGGCATGTTAAAAAAAAATCTCTCAGTGGGTCATCCCTCTGCTTGGTCCCAGCAGCTGTACTTCAGGTTGTTTTGCCCTTTGAGAGCTGATAGTCATGACACCCTCTTCAGAAGTTGTAGTGAAGGCTAAGTGGTTTCCCCTTTTTAAGTGCTTTGTCCACAGTGCTCGTTGAGAGTGATTTCAGTGTTCCTGTGATAATTTTTACAATAGCAGAGATGCTTACATTCTTCGAAATGTTGGGCAGTTCTGGGTGAGTCTGTGTCAACCTTGGAGATTGTAAGTATGTGAGATCTCAGCGGGGCTACTCTCCCATCCAAAAATGAGCCTACAAACTCGTCAGGGCTATATACAGAATTCTATGCCATTGGTTCAGGTTTGCATCTGCCCCGATCTGCTCCCCTTGGCTCTGTAGGATTTATTTGAGTTATATTATCAAGTTCAAGGATCTGTGAGAAGCTCTATTCAAGTAATAAATACTCTAGGATGTTGGGAAATTATGCTGGATGCTGGTAGCTTTCTTGTCTGTCATTCTGTTTTGAATGTATTTTCATCCTATCAGTTCATGTTTCAGACCTGGCAGTGCTCACTGTTTGACTTCCTATTAGCCAACTCCAAGGGATTTGTTAACTCATTTTTCTAGAGAAGGGAGAGAAGGGGGCGGGGAGTATGTGTGTGTCCCCACAGCTTATTTAGGTCACATCCATCCTTCTCTGGAATCATGACATTTAAACATTCAAAAGAACTGGATACCACTTAGCAATACAGACTGCCAATGAGTTGAATGGAGGCTTTGGGCCATCTGGTGCTCAGCACGGCAGTTCTCAGAATCTAAACATGCCTGATAGCTCATTGCCAAATAGTGACGTCATACAAAGAGTCTCTTCTTGCAGACAGAACATGGTGTTACTGACCACGAACTTGTGCCCAGCATATTAACTGAGCAGGAACACACCGATGATGTAAATAATGACAGCTGTATTTTGTCAGTCACTGACTTCATGTTCGACTATTATTCTCAAAACACGAATTAAAAGTTGAACTGACCTTTGATATAGTGTGTGTTTGTATCTGTCAAGATCTTAGAGGAACCTTTTCCTTACCCCTGACCTTATTCCTCATTAAGGTATTGGTTATCAGAACATGGTTCTTTTCACCCTACGAACCTCAGTCAGATGTAATGTGTGGTCCTTAATTGGATCCCGGTTTGAACAAACCAGGTGTAAAAGACAACTTTGGGATAATTGGAAAAGTTTTAACATGAACTGGATTTTTAGATGATATTTGAGAATTATTTGTCATATATAATGGTTTTGTGATTATATAGAAAGATGTATTTATGCTGAAATATTTAGAGGTAAAGTATCATGTCTATCATTTTATTTTAAAATGGTCCAGCAAAAGATCCAAATAGATAGGTAAAAAAAAGAAATAATGTTAATTGTTGGATATGGGTGGTAGGCGTATGAGTAATCACTATACTATTGTTTTGTATATTGAAATTTGTCATAGTGAAAATTTTATATTTCTTTTATCCAAATACCATGTCTCACCCACACACCCATGTAAAACCCTCAGTTTGTTCATTGTTGGAAGATCCGTTTGATGAATATTCATTGCCTTATGTTAGTAAATAAACAGCACAGGGAGATAAAAAAGTGAAAAATCAAAAAATCCCTGCTTACCTTTTCTAGATTAGTTTGGTTATAAGTTTTCCTTTTGACACAGTTTGAGTACAGTTGTAGCTGTTTGACACTGACATTCTACAAAAGTTTGTTCATACAGAGTCTCGGTTATTTTTAAAACTTGTTCTTTAGTAACGTATTCTTAATACAAAACACATCCCTAGACATACATACACATAAAGAAGAAAAGAGATCATGTTCCTTAGAGCAGACACATGGGAGGAGAATTCTTTGTTCCGTATGAAGACTCAATACTGTGTATTTGCTTAATAAGGCCTGATTTTTTTGGTGACATGTTAAAAACTTTTTTTTTCCTTCCAATCTGTGGGGCTGATAGCTGTCGACTTGCTGGAGAAGATGCTTGTATTGGACTCAGACAAGAGAATTACAGCAGCCCAAGCCCTCGCACATGCCTACTTTGCTCAGTACCATGATCCAGATGATGAACCAGTGGCTGATCCTTACGATCAGTCCTTTGAAAGCAGGGACCTCCTTATAGATGAATGGAAAAGTAAGTCATAAGAGCAGGATTAACATCTAGTGTGGGAACTTAGATTTTAAAATGTTTCTTAGGTGAGCCACTAACCAAAAGCTGTGGGAAAATAAAATTTCTGGTTATAATCAATTTGTTAAAACTTGTAACTAGTGTGTCTGATGCAGGATGGATATGTTCTTCTGATGGAAACTGTCTGTTGTAGATGATGACACTCTCTGGACCTTTGAGGTGCTTGTGTCTGGTCTGATTTTGTGCAAACCCCCCCCCCACATCTGTATAGAGCTTCAAGGTTCTCAGAATCTGCGTTTACAACATCTGTCTGAGAGAAGTAGGGAATAAGGTATTTTTGTAGTTTTATGATTGATAAAACTCTAGAATTATAGTTTTATAATTTTTAAGAAGATTTTATTTATTTATTCATGAGAGACACAGAGAGGCAGAGACAAAGGCAGAGGGAGAAGCAGGCTCCCTGCAGGGAGCCCAAGGTGGGACTCGATCCCGGGACCCCGGGATCACAACCTGAGCCAAAGGCAGATGCTCAACCACTGAGCCGTCCAGGTGCCCCTATAGTTTTATAATCGATAGACAGTCTGTATCTTGTCTGTTACCTTGGACCTACTTAGGGACACAGCCAGAAATGAAACCTAGGTCTCCTCTATATCCCAACTTCAAATTCTTTCCATAACAACACATTCAGAACTCCAGGTAGATCCCCAAAGGCAAAATTATCTGTTCCGTAGCTTGTAGAAGTGCTCTGCTATTCTTGAGCATCTTCTCCAGAGAGCTTACAAGAGGAGGCACGGTGGAATGAAACAAATAAGTAAAAATAGTTCTTTTTGTGTATCCTTGAACTTCTGTGTAATCACATGTTCCTTTAGGTTATAACATGTAAGCAATGAAGTGGTTATTTGAAGTCGTCCATCCAATCACTGGCCTGGACAGGAGGGAAGGATCTTGAGCTTCGAAGTTAAGAATGTCCACCTACAAGAATAGTCTCAACTCTCACATCCGACTTTTCTCTCTTCTGATTTTTAGGCCTGACCTACGATGAAGTCGTCAGCTTTGTGCCGCCACCCCTTGACCAAGAAGAGATGGAGTCCTGAGCACCTGGTTTCTGTTTTGTTGATCCCACTTCACTGTGAGGGGAAGGCCTTTTCATGGGAACTCTCCAAATATCATTCAAGTGCCTCTTGTTGCAAAGATTTCCTCCATGGTGGAAGGGGTTTGTGTGTGTGTGTGTGTGTATGTGTGTGCTCCTGTGCATGTGTCTGTCTGTGTGGGAGGGTAAGAGAATATGAGCAAACTCTGATCACAGTGACTTTACGTGGAATTACAGAAGCCCTGTGGCAGCCTCTGTTTGCTCTTTGTGAGAGTCAGCTCAGGCAGGCAAGAGCTGCCATCTTGTTAGGGTTTGTTAAATGCAAAGTAAAAAATATTAAACGGCCCAGATCCCAGTCATGCTTTTGCCCTTTTGGCCTCTCCCATGGCCCTGGCTTGGGGTGGGAGGAGGGGAGAGTCGCCTACATCCTGTAGCAGCACAGAAATGGCTCACACTTTCTGGCTGTTTCAGAAGCTGTCCCTCAGCATCACTCGCAGCCAAGAAGGACCAACTGGCTTCTGTGCACTAGTCTGTGACTGACTTGTTTAGTACGATTCTCAGAACTCTGCAGGTGTGTCCGAAACTGTAAATATGCTTGTGCCTTAAGAGGAGAGAAGAAAGTGTAGATAGGTAAGATAGCACAGCAGACCAAGTGCCGAGCCAGGCAAGTAGTCAGGTTGTTGGAAGGCTGCTCATGAACCTGAAGTAACCAGGGAGCCCTGGAGGCATTGTGTGTGCATGTGTGCGCATGCATGTGTGTGCTTCTCTTCACACACCCCACACCCCAGGGGTTGCTATTTCTCTGCTCGCCCCCCACCTACAGTGCAGAGGTTTCTTGTGTATTAGCCCCAGCAGGCAGAAGCCGGTTCTTGCTGTCATTGTACTTTCTGTGTGCTCTTTATTCCCAGCAGAGTGACGATGTGTTTTGCATGTCTTGCTATTTGAGCATGCACAGCTGCTTGTCTGTTCTCTTTGGGAGGCCCTGGTGCCAGGCAGGTTTGCCAGTGAAGACTTCTTGGGTAGTTCAGAGCCCATGTCACCTCGGCTGATGCCACGGGAAGGTGACCTCATCCTCTCTCCAGCCCCAGTGCTATTTTGTGTTGAACACAATTGATACTCTAGGTGCTTTTGATGTGAAAACTATGAAGAAATGGAACAGATGAGTGTATAGCATTTTCATTCTTGCCATCTGGTTTTCGACAAACTATTTTTGGGGAGCCATCATGGGAAAGATCAGGGCTTTTCTCGGGAATATCTCAGACTTTGGAAAACAATTGTTCTCTTCACTCCCAGTAGCTAATGCTAAGAAATGCTTAAAATCAAAGTGAACAATAAAAATTGCTCATGAGGCCAGAAACTCCTTTTGCTATCTTTGTCTAAACATGGTTATTAAAAAAAGTAATGAGGTGTCTTTTCCACTCTTCTTTGGAAGAGGGTCTTCTTGGCAGCTTAACATTGACTTCTTGGTCTTGGTTCAGGGAGAAATAAATTTTGTTTCAGAATTTTGTATATTGCAGGAGTCCTTTGAGAATGTGATTCCTTTTGATGGGGAGAAAGGGCAAATTATTCTGATATTTTGTATTCTCAACTTTATAAAGATGAAATATCCTCAGGGGTGGAGAAGAATTGTTTTCATAATTTTCTGAATTTCAGGTGTCTTGTGCTACAAAAGGGCCCATATGTTTGAACCCCCTGTGAAATAAGCAAGTGTGAAGCCGCTTCTACTATTGGCTGTGTGATAGAATCTTGTATTTGGGACAAGGCGTATCCATTTCTCTATCACAGCGCAGTGGTACCTGAATTCTGGAGGGACAGGGTGGGACCCCTGAGCCAGCTGGAGCAAGAAGGGAGGAGGCAGGCTGATGGTGATTGCACCTCACCCGGGATCCTACCCCTCTTTAAAGGAAAATGAACGCAAAAGCTTCATCTCCTTTATATGCAGTTCAAATCCTCACCATCCACAGCAAGATGAATTTCATCAGCCATGTTTGGTTGTAAATGCTAGTATGATTTCCTACAGAAATACTGCTCTGAATATTTTTTCATAAAGGTCTTTGCACATGTGATTGTATATGCGTTAGGAGGCTGAATGCTCTTGGAGCCTGGACTCAGCTGGAGCCCATGGAAGAGCTCCTTGGTTTCTGAGCATTGTGCTCCCATCTCCTGATTTCTCTGAACAGAACTAGCAAAAGAGAGAATGAGGGAAATTGCCATTTTATTTGTATTCATGAACTTGGCTGTAATCAGTTATGCCATATAGGATGTCATACAATACCACTGGTTAAAATAAAGCCTATTTTTCAAATTTAGTGAGTTTCTCAAATTTATTATATTTTTATGTTGGTTGTTTTTTACTTAGTGCACAATATGGCATTTTTTCAATTGTGGCCTGGCATATGTTTTCTGGTAGACCTTAATATTGCTCCTAAAATTTAGAAAACACTTTTAACAGAGCTCTTTAATTGTACACTTTATGGTGAAGCAGATCTGAGTCTTTGATGTAGATGGGTAAATAGCAAGTAAGTCATAAACATAGCTTGCAAAGTATCACGACACTTGGATGTCAGAGTGGCCTGGGGCAGGGGTCAGCAAACTATGGCCCATGAGCCAGATCCCGTCTACCATCTGTTTTTGTATAGCCTGCTAAAAATGGTTTTTACATTTTTAAATGGTTGAAATCAAAAGAACAGTATTTTTGTAGCATGTGAAAAATAATGTAAAATTCAGATTTCAATGTCTATAAATAAAGTTTTATGGGAACACAACCACACGTTTGTTTATGTATTGTCTATGGCTGCTTTTGTGCTAGTGACAAAGTTAAATAGTTGCAGCAGAGACCATGTGGCTTACAAAATCTAATCTATTGCACTCTCTGGCCTTTTACAGGAAAAGTTTGCCGACTCCTGGCCCGGGACTTCAGTTTCCTTGTGTAAAATGAAGTTTTGTTTTTTAAGATTTTATTTATTTATTTTAAAGATTTTGTTTATGAGAGACACAAAGAGAGGGGCAGAGACACAGAGGGAGAAGCAGGCTCCCTTTGGGGAACCCAATGTGGGACTCGATCCCTAGACTCCGGGATCACGCCCTGAGCCAAAGGCTCAACCACTGAGCCACCCAGGCATCCCTAAAAATTTTATGTATTTGACAGAGACCATGAACGGTGGGGAGATGCAGAGGGAGAGGGAGAAGCAGACTCCTTACCGAGTAGGGAACCCAACACAGGGCTTGATCCTAGGACCCTGAGATCATGACCTGAGCCAAAGGTAGACACTTATCCTACCGAGCCACACAGGCACCCCTAAGATAAAGTTTGTTTAAATAGTTGTTTGGATTCTTTTCAGCTTTGACATCTTAAGCTATCTGTAGAAAGTATATTTTTATTTGAAAATTGCCAGAGAGAAGGTTGTATGCATACATATGTACATTGTTTGTAGACCTTTAAGCAAATGTGTTTCATTACTCTTTTATCTTACCACCCTTGACAGTATTCTTTTTTTTAAAAAAATATTTTATTTATTTATTCATGAGAGACACACAGAGAGAGAGGCAGAGACACAGGCAGAGGGAGAAGCAGGCTCCACGCAGGGAGCCCGACGCGGGACCTGATCCCCGGGTCTCCAGGATCACGCCCTGGGCCGAAGGCGGCGCTAAACCACTAGGCCACTAGGGCTGCCCAACAATATTCTTCAAAACTACTGAATTACACCACAGGATTAAAGGGCCACAAGGTCTCATGGCTGTTTTCAGGGCCTATGTTGGTGTGCTTCCTTTCTCAGTGGCCTCAGAATGCTAACAGGTGTCCCAGGTGTATTGTGAGGCCCAGCCTGTGAGGATACGGAGTGTGTGCAGCTGGGTGTTTTGTCCTGTGGTGTCTGGTCCCAGGCTGGCAGCTGGGAATAATGGCAGAAGGCAAACTAAGCACAGACTCTTTTCTTCGTCCTGTCCTCATTATCTTCAGAGAGTAAAAGAAAAGGGACCCAGTTGTCACACATGATCTATCAGCCCCTGTAAGGATCAGAGAGTTGTAGGAAATATTTTGCCTTCACATACCAGGCATGAGTGCTGTGACACAACCTTCCGGGCTTCTGAGTGGAGGCCCTGTTTACTAGCTCAAGGAGAATTGACACTAGAAAAAAGCTCACCTCAAGTGAATCCACTAAAAAATGGGGACCAGAATTGAATAGTATGTTTTGGGGGTTGGAGGTTAGAGGAAGTCTGACTGGGACTACTGTGAAAACTGAAAAAAATGATAAAAGCATATTCATAATTTCAGATCCACTTTTGTAATGAAGAAAGAGCAAATGCTGTGTTTCCCAAGTGACACCATGTCTCATAGGCTGCAATATCCTTCCCGTTTTGATTTTTGTAGCATCATCATAGAGGAAATCTTTGCAAAAATATTTGAGGTCTTCCTGCGTTTTCCTAAGGGCCTCAATCTTTTGATAATTCCATTGTTCTTTTTTACAAGTTATCTTGGTGATCACTTTATCAACCTTTCCCTTTTGGTGTCTGGTCTGAGCCTGCCAGATCCACATTTTTGAGAGCTAAGCAGTTTTCTAGCATTATTTATCAAGTTCATCAAATTGACCATCTTTTGCAAGATTTGCGATTATTGCAGTTAATCTGCACTATATTTGTGTCATTGGTCCTATGCCTATAATACAGTCAGAGACCAACAGAGGACTAGAATGTGTAGGATAGATGCTCTGGGTTCAGATACTAATGAAGCTAGGAGGGACTAAAGTCCATTCATTAGTGAATGTTTTTGTGTGACATCTTTCACTTTTCTGCACGATCTAAGAGCTACGAGGACTTGGCCAACAAATATGCAAATGAAGACATTTTTAATTTATAGTACAGATTTTTCTTTTTTAAGATATTATTTATTCATGAGAGACACACACAGAGAGAGAGGCAGAGACACAGGCAGAGGGAGAAGCAGGCTTCCTGCGGGACTCAAGCCCCAGACCTGGGATCATACTCTGACCCAAAGGCAGATGCTCAACCGCTGAGTCACGCAGGCATCCCAATACACATATGTTTTAATACACATATACTTTGAACTTAGCATTTACATTTTTCAGGACTTAGAGACCTCACAAGTACATGAATGGAAAAGTAAAAGGGTTATTCAGGGTCTTGTTCTTTAAGATTTTATTTGTTTTTGGGAGAGACAGAACAAGCATGAACAGGGAGAGGGACAAGCAGACTCTGTGCTGAGTGCAGAGCCTAACGTGGGGCTCAGTCCCATCACCCTGAGATCATTATCTGAGCCAAAATCAAGAGTCAGAGACTTAACTGACTGAGCCATGCAGATGCCCCTTTTTATTATTTTGTTTTTTAATTTGTTTTTTGAGAGAGCATGCATGAGTGTGGGTGAAGGGAGGGGTAGAGGGGAGAGGGAATCTCCAGTGGACTCCTGGCTGAACACAGAGCCTGATGGGGTGATCTCAAAACCCTGAGATCATGACCTGAGCTGAAATCAAGAGTTGGTCACTTAACTATCTGAGCCACCCAGGTATCCCAAGGTCTTGTTCTTTATAATAGCAAAATATTGGAAGTAACCCACATATCTGTCAATGAGAACTTGATTAAATACCATGGTCATCTTACAGTGGACTACCATATATCTAGGCATGGATACATGTGCAAGATAGGAGGGAGAGAAAGTGAGTGGCAAAGTATCATATGCTGTCCTCCCTTTTTACTGATAGAAAGATATGGCCAGGAAGACCCTAGAAGAACCACACCAAACTCAGCAACTGTATCTGAGAGGTAGAATTATAGAATTATAGAAGGCTCTAATTTGTGTGATTTGTTGTGTTTTGTAAAACAACAAAAAACACTGAATAATTTCTTTTGTAATCTGAAAGCTTTAAAAAATTTTTAATAAGATTATTTTGTTCAGATGAAGTTGGGGGAACCATTCCCCAGTTTCAGTTTTGCTAGTGTTAGAGTGCAACTTTCCAAGACGGGAGAACACATGCTGGAAAGGGGTTGTTGCACCTAGCTATTGGGCCTCTGAAAAGCAGAACACCATCACTCCTTTGTAGCAGGATTCTCCCCCCAGCTGGGAGGGCTTGGTAGTTTCTTCCCCAGTAGAAGAGTGTATTTGAGGGATCTGAAGCTGGATTTTTCAACTTTTGGCACTCTTGACATCTTGGGCTGGGTGGTTACATGTGGAGGCTGACCCGCATGGGGTTGTTACGCAGCACCCCGACTTCTACTCACAAGATGACAGTGGCATACATACTCCCTTCTCCCAGTTCTGGTTGCCAAAAATGTCTCCAGACATTGCCAAACGTGCCCTGCTGCAAAACTGTCCCTAGTTGAGTGAGAATCACTGGTCTAAAGCTGAGACCCCTCAGGGGGCCCTACTGGCTCCAACAGTAGAACGTGTGACTCTTTGATCTTGGAGTCATGAATTCAAGCCCCACGTTGGGCATAGAGCTTCTTTTTAAAGAAGTTTTGTTTTCTTTTTTTTAAATAATAAAGCAGAGACACTTGTAGTCTTGCAGAATAGTAAAGAATTGAAGAAATAATTGAAGACTAACACCTACTAACCTGTTCTCACTTAAAGAAATAGGAAAGGCCTTTATAAAGGTGGGACTATATCTTCTTTGAAGAAAAGGAAGATGTTAGTTCAGAAAAAAGTATGCTTGATACTGGATTGAGGCTATTCCATTTCTCAAAAAAAAAAGGAAGTGGGTGTCAAATGAATAAAATTATTCTTTGTTCAGAAGCATATGGGCCATTGCCACAGCCAGAACATTTAGTAATTAAACCGGGGTATGACTGCAAGGTTTTCTTAGGCAGGTGATGGGTAACTGTGGAAAGAATACTAGGTTTTGAAGTCATAATAAATCCCGGGTTCAAATCCTGACTCAAACTTTTGTCAGGCATGTGACACTGGGATAGTTTTTTGGTTTCCAAGTGATTATAAAGATTAAATGAAATAAACCTCTGTGTGCCTCGTATGTTGTGGGTACCCGAGTTTGTATCTCACTGGGGCTGACCCTGGGCGTTGAGGCTTTGCTATCAGGGTGAGTGTGGAGTGTCCTCCCTCCAGTGTGAGCCTCTAAAACCATGTGGAAGGAGAGCTCCCAGGACAAGATAGTCCAGAACCGAGCTCCAGTGCAGTTTCTGGACAACTTCCATTATCAAGGCCAGAGTCTGTGGTCTGAGTATGCACAGCCAGAGGGACTTTTTAAAGATTTTATTTACTTGAGAAAGAGAGCACAAGCAGGGGGAAGGGTAGAGAGAGAGAAGCTGAACAGGAAGCCCGATGTGGGGCTCAATGTGGGGCTTGATCCCAGGACCTTGAGATGATCTGAGCTAAAGGCAGATGCTTAACAGACTGAGCCACCCAGGTGCCCTTACTGCAAAGCTTGATTCATTCAGTTTAGAGAATGTACTTTATCTAGAAGTCACTAAGAAGTCAAGTGAGGAAGTAACCTTAAATCCAGTTTTGGAATGAAGAAAATCTATATATACCACGACCTTTGGAGAAGGAGGACAAAAAAAAAAATGTAGCCTATCCCCTCTATCAGAGTTCTCAAATCTATCAGATCCAACACGCTTTTGTGTAACTAATATTTCAAAACATCCACTTTAGGATCCTGAAGTGAAATTCATAGATAGCATACATGGACTCACAGGATTCCAAAGGAGATAAATGATCTAATATAAATGATGGATAAAGAAAAAAGATACATTTCAATATGTAAATGCTCAAGCATAAATACACAAAAGACATAATGAAGGAGTTAGAAGCTTGCACCTAAACAGAATTGTCTTGAATGTGACCACAGCATCATGCTGTCTTGGCAGCTCAGATAGCACAATAAATTTCAAATGAAACAGTATCATCTTTTTTTTATTTACTCAGTTGTGATCCTGGAAATTTTAAGTATATACACAACAACAACAAAAATACCAACCTGTGTTTTATACATAAAATCAAGTTATAGTCTAGGCTCGGATAACGATAAATAGGTTTTTCCACCTACGTGTATGTCCAGCAGGACGTTTTTGTTAAATGAAACAATTCTTGTTGAGAATCTCACTCTGCACGATGCCCCTTGCGTGCAAAATATCAGAAAACCCTGGTCATGGCGACAACCATAAATGACCCCATGACTTCCCAAGTTCACCCTTGGAGAACTGCTGACGTAGGCAGAAATGGCCCGGAGGCTGTGGACTGAAGCCTCCAAACTGAAGGACAGATCTGATTTCCTCTTCCCCCTACCCCTTCCTCCTTTTCCCTCCTTCCCTACTAAAAAGTAGTTATTTTATTGAACCCCTACGTATGCTCTACAAGTCATGGCTCAAGTTCTTGTCCAGAGTCACATAACCAAGACTGGAATCGACAGACCATCCTGGAATCGACACTGAGGGACGTCTAGTTCCATGGAGTTTTACAGCATTGATGTTAGACACGCCTTTCTAGGTTTTTGAAAGAAAATCAAGAAAAATGTATTTATTCTGCATAGTTTCCCTAAGGCCTTGCCGGCTGTTTCTAGCCCTAACTAGGTGCAGGGCCACACCCAGGCCCCAGCCCCTCTCTCTTGCCTCCTTGCTCACCAGGGATGGAGATGCACCCCCAGTCCTCAGGAGAGAAGCAGCTACCCATGTCCTCCTCCAATGCTTCTCTTCACAGCTCGCACCCTCTGGCAGGCTCTACGTGCAGAATGCCACCGTGTGTTTTAGCCTTCTCTCTTCTGGGCTTTGTGCGGGGCATTCCCTCTGTGCAGAAGCCCCTGCCTTCTTCCTCACTCCTCAAGGCTAACCAGCTCTGTCCCCGCTCTGTAAACCTTCCCTGGCCATCCCCAAGCTGGGATTCAGGGTCCCTTCTGTGTACCTCTTGTACTTGTCTGCATCCATCGGTGGTGGCGCTCTCAGCACTTTGTCATTACTGTTTTGTCATTGCCTGGTGTTTGTGTCACCTGCTCAAGAGAAAAACATACAAAGGTTAAGGATGCAGGCCCTGGAAACAGTGTGCCTGGGTCCAAGTCCTAACCCCTCTAGCTCCAAGTGGTACAATCCTGAGCAAATTACTTCATCTTTCTGAATCTACCTCATAGGGTTGTTGTGGGGATTATATGCGTCAAGGCAGGTAAAGCCAGTGGCATACATTAAATACTCAATAAATGTCAGTTCAGGGCTGTACGTCCTTGAGGGCACAGACTGTCTTATTCACGACTGTGTCCCAACAGCCAGCATGGGACCTGGCACACAGTAGGCAGCCAACCTTTGTTGACTGAGTCAGTGAATAACTATCATCTTTTAATCACTTGCAGACCATCTCGTCCTCTGCTTCCTGTTTTTATAATCAACGATCTTTAAAAGCAAAGGCCCTCTAAAGAAAGAAACCAAATATGTACAGATTATCTGCCCAAAGAATTGGTGCTGTGCAGAAGTCGCCAGTTTGAGACAAGCGTTAGGACAATTGGATTCTGATTCTCTTGGCTACATCTTGCTGTGTAATTTGAGTTGGATGCACAGCAATTTAATGACTTGGAACGAGAATCAAAAGATTATTGAAGGTGGCTGATGGCCACGATCCAGGTAATGCCTACTGTTTCCCCATCCATCTGCCACTTGAAAATGAAAATCCCAGGGAAAAAGAAGGGGGAAATTGGAAGTCATTATGATATTTTTGCTCCCTCATTCAACCATTGCACAAACACCTGTTGGGTAACTTCTATGTGTCAGGCACTGGGAACATGGGGGGAAAAGAAGATTTCTGCCCTCTCCGAGTTAACATTCTTAATGGGGAAGATAGTAGCAAACAATGACTGTACCATTTCCCTGGCACCCCTAGAACAGAAGCTCTGAGTGCTCATTGTTGGGGGCCATTTCAGGGCCAAGGGTACCTTGGATCCACCTCCCTGGCACTCAGCTGCCAGACTGGGATTTTGTCATTGGAGTCCTAGGCCCTTGTGTCCTTGACCTGATCAGCTGGCTCCACTTGCAGGGCTGCCAATGTAGTCACCTGTTTCTGGTTCTGAGGTGTAAAGTCGTCACCTGCTGCCATTACACAAAGGTCCATTTCCCCTGGGCCATTGCTCAGGTATGACACAGCTGATGGTCGAGGCCCTGTAGCAAAACCTCACACCCACAGCTCCGTCCAGTGACAGAGGCAGTGACTATCTGATGATGGGTGCCGACAAATGCTTGTGGTGGGGAGTGTCCCCATCCAGAGGCTGTCCTGCCACTAACAAACCCCACCCGTTCCCCAGCTAGGAAACACCACAGCCACCGCACCAAGCTGCTCCCAGTTTTCACCTGCCCACTGCAGGTGTGTGTTTTGTTTTTAGGATTTTATTTGAGAGAGAGCACGAGCAGGGGAAGGGCAGAAGGAGGGGGAGAAGCAGAGCCCCCCACTGAGCAGGGAGCCTGATGTGGGGCTCGATCCCGGGATCTCAAGATCATGACCCGAGCCAAAGGCAGGTGCTTAACCGACTGAGCCACCCAGGTGGCCCCCCTGCTGGTGTTTCTGTAACTTGCACCAGGCTTTCCAGTGTCAAAGCACCGACCGGGTTGCTTTTTCTAACTATTACTCCTCCACAGCACAAAACATGTTTATTGTTGAAAAAAATTTCGGTGTAGCAAGGTAACATCCATTAACCCACTCCCTAGAAATAATAGCTGTTGACAGGGTGGCTCAACCCCTAGATTTTCGAAATCTGCAAAAATACGTTAACTTCCATTGAAACGACTGTGCATTATCCTGCCGTCTGTGTCAATAAATGGCACTGAGACAGCTGGACAGTTACTTTCCTCCTTAGGCACAATCATTTCCAGATAAAACAAAGATTTAAAAGGAGAAGGGCTTCCGAAGTATGTCACAAAATCCAGAAACCATAAAGGAAAAGGCTAATTAATTGGACTACATAGAGACCGTAAAACTTCGTACATTAGAAGCAGTTTGGCAGGATTTAGCGAGGGGGGAAGCTGCATGCACCTCACGACTCCACGTTCTCCAGAAACTTTCCCACTGGGCTCAAGGGAATAAATGCCGGGGACTTTTCACTCAGCATTACTTGTAAGAGCAGAAAAAACCTGAGGGGCACCCGGCTGGCTCCATCGGTAAAGTGTCCATCAAACCCTTGATCTCAGGTTCTGAGTTCGAGCCCCACGCTGGGGAGAGAGGTCACTTAAAAATAAAAAAATTTGAAAAGAGAAGAAAAACTGAGGCACACCTCCAAGTCCATCAATAGGAGGATAGGAAGATAGCTGTAGTGCATTGCAACTACAAAATCCGACACAGCAGTGAGGACACACGATCTGGAAGGACTCCCCTCCCCTCCAGGTTCAGTCTGTGTCCCAGAGACAAGGAGCGATGTCTAGAGGCAACTCGGAGGGTGAGGGCTGAGGTGCTGGCATCTGGTGGGTAGAGGCCAGGGCTGCTGCTATGATACACAGGACAGCCTCCCAACCCCAAGAATTATCAGGCCCCGAGTGTCTCGGTGCTGAGGTTGAGAAATCTCGAGTGAGCCTGAATCGACAGGGGCAGATCCCACCAGCAATCTTGAGTGAAAAAAGGAAGTTGCAGAATGATCCAGTTTGATATTTTTACAGATACATATATAGCACAAGTAAAAATCACATATGGGAATAATGCACACCCACTCTGCAAATCTGGAACGATCCATCCAGACCTGTTTTTTTAATTTTTTTCTCATGATGCCGGAAAGGCCTCTTTATCGACATAGAGGATAAACAGTAGTGACAGGTGTGTGCCCCCTTGTCTGTTTTATGTCGACTAAATTGCTAGCTATGCAATTCTCAGGATAAACGAGGTGTGCATTTTCACCGTTGTGATGACATATTGTTAAAACGGTTCTCCTAAAAGCTTGTGCCAATTTCCATTCCCACCTGCAGGTGACAGTTGTCATTCCCTTTTTTGCTCTGCCTCCTTCACTCGGGTATGAGCCTCTCGAGGACAGGGCTGGCGACCCTTGTCTGTGTGTCCTCCATGTCTTGATTGGTGCTTCAACCTACAATCTGGTCAAAAGGACTAAGGCTTTGGTTTACATTGCAAAATCGGTTCAGAGGACAGATTGCCACTCATATCCTCAAGAAACTCCCAGAGTAGTTTCGTTTGTGTGTCAACCGACAATTCCAGTGGGAGGGTCTGCTGTCTCCTACGGGCATCAGAGAAGAGAGAGGCCACAGGGGTAGGAGTGGTCTAGGAAGTGCTACTGAGCCAGGTCTTGAGGCACGAGGGGCCTCCCCATCCTTGGAAAAGCAGAGGAATGGCATTCCAGAAGGGCAACAGCTCAAGCAAAGGGGTGGTGCCAGGGATGAGTAAGGCATGTTTGTGAGACAGGACGGAGGTCATTGGTGCACAGATGCCTGAGGAGGATCTGATTAGCACGGAAGGTGGTGCCTGGTCGGGGGCAAGCCTTATCCAACAGGCTAAGAAGTTTGAGCTTTTTCCTGGAGGCACGAGGGAGCTAACAGGGATGGGGAGGTAGAGGAAGAAAGGCTGCTCTAACCGGGCGGATCTGTCACAGCTGGGCCGCCGGGCAGGTGCACCTGCACTGGGCTCGCTGGCCAGCTGCCCCGCCGGGGCCCCCTCTGCAGGCACCCAAAGCTAGATCGAGCCCTGGGTGAGGAAGGGTGGCCCCCCGGGAGGGACAGGAGAGGAGAGCCAGGGGGGCCTGTGAGGCGGGGAGAGGCACAGTCCCCGGGGCCCAGAGGACCCACTGGTACCTGGCACCAAGTAACCCGCTGATCCCTGTTGCCACATCCAGGCGTGGGGTGATAGCGCCGGAGCCCACTCGCGGTGACTCTTGACAGCTGACTTTGTGCCTCTCTCCTCAACTGCATGTTCAGTGACAACAAGCTGGAAGCTTGAACTTGGCCCCGGTGGAAGTATTTGCACCATGGAAATCGCTATGCACTACACATGGGGGCTCTCTGTCCCCCAGCGCCAGTTTTCCAACGCACCAATAGCTATTTCCTTCTAGAAATGGATTCTGCGGTTAGATTTGGGGAAAGATGGGAAGGGAGATTCTTGTTTAGGGAAGCCAGATGGAAACTTTAGGAAGATAAGCGTGTGGCCAAATAATGGAGGCACCATCCGGAGAAGTGAACTCTGATTCCTGGAAGGCAAAGGCTGGGCCTCCAGGGGCGCGATCCATGCAGCTGAGCGTAGTGGTCGCCAGCACTGAGTGCACCTGAGACTGCACGGGCTTGAATCCTGGCTCTGCTCAGCACTAGCTGTGTGACCTTGGTCAAGTCACTTTGCCTCTCTGTGCCTCATGTTTGTCATATGAAAAATGCAGTGTATTATTAACGCATCTCATAGGGTCCTTAAGAGGATGAAATGACTTAGATGGACATAAAGCTCTTAGAACAATTTTTGGCAAGAAATCAGTGCTTCACCAATATTTGTGAAATACACAAAAGAGAAAACAGAAGTACACCGAGAGGCAGTGTGACTTACCTACGGTCACACAGAAAATGAGCAGCAGAGCTGGCATCAGAGCCCAAACGGATGGCATCAAGCCCATGGCGGATGGTCCTACTAGTCTTATCTGGCTTTCTTTGGCCCACATAAAGATTGTGGGGCTCCTGGGGATGATGATTCATGTGTCCTGGTGTTGGATGTTTACGTAGAAAGGGTGGAACAGGCAGTGGCCTCTGCCCTGGAAGGGCAGGTTGTTGAGATGCCCTGTGGGGTGCACAGCCTCCTCGGCCTGGACTGGGGCACCCAGGATCCCAGGCAGGACACTGACCTATTACTGCACTTTGGCAGGTCATTGAGCTGGGATGGTCCCAGGCCCCAAGGGAGTTGGCCAACCTATGAGTAACAAACAAAGAAGACAGAGATGCTTTTGTTGAGTGCCCCCTCTACGTACCGGCAGCTCGGTCAGTCACCACATGCAGGCACTGTTCTAGGCACTTGAGATTCAGCAATGAACAAAGTAGTCAA